AGAATGATAGTAAAGGGTGATTTTAAAAAAATACAACATTAAATTATGATGCCCTTTCTGTGTTATTGTGGAGGAAAGGGACACAGAAGTCTCAGTGTATAAGACTGCAGACCCAAGGGAGAGTGGTTTCCCCACAGAATATAACAAGACTTCAGTGGTTGAGCAACCCCACAGCAGAGAACATAGGTCAGCTTATTTCATAGGCAACATCTTCTTGTTCAAACATAATGAAATGCTTTGGGTCAAGATAGTATTGTGTTTCTTATTTTTCCCTTGGAACCAAGCTCTCTGGTGGTCCTCCCAAAGTTTTCCTATTTCCTCATCAATGCTAGCAGTAGCTGTCCTGCTCCCCTGTGGGGAGAGAACAGAAGGACTTAGCTTCTCTTACAAGAAGAGAAATAATCAGACTCATGTAAAGTTTAATCTGGATAGCACTGGGGGTATGCAGAGGTCTTTGGGAAGGTTGTTGCTAGAGCTGAGTTGTGATTCTGGTTTTGTCTCACTGGTTGGGTGGCTTTGGCTCATACATGGTCAGTGGTGTAAGCTGAATAAGGGTCGGGACTTGGCTGTTCCTTTTTCTTGGCACAAGACCCAGATATTTGTGGACTGAGAGTAACCATCTCTTCTTCCCAGGGTCTATGGAATCAGCATGTTAAATGTCTGAGTTTACATTGAAAAAAATATTCCATGTTGATTTTACCCCTCTCCCCTCCAAGTGTAACTTCTCAGGAGAAACTTGGGGTTTTCATACTCTCTGGTTTGGACTCTGAAGGATTCATGTTTGAGAGACCAGAAGTCAGGGCATATTTTCTCTTGATGTCTATGGCCTTGACAGTTTTGTTTCTGAGAGTTAGTGAAAGTCCCCAATGTGACCCAGTAACCTCAGGCTGAAGTACAGATACTTAAAAAGTATCAGACATAGATGAGTCCAAGGTGGCATCTGAGACAGTGATACAACCCAGAATCCAACGAGGGTGCTTTGCCTTGACTATAGGAATTTAGGAAACACATCCATCAAAATTTAAGAAAAGCCATGCTCTTCTGTATTTTCTTGTACAGTTGTCTGAGTGGCATGATCCTTATTTGGATATGAATAATCCTTTTTACTGTTGTATCTATGCTATATGCAGTACCTTCGAATTTGTGACCACCTTCTTAGTTATCAGGTAGACTCACGGTTCCCCAGAGCCTACGTCCTGTGAGGATCCTTAAGCAATATCTTAATACTTGTGACAAGGCCCACAACATTCACCTGGCTTTGTCACCTCACACAGATGTTGTGATACTTCCCATCATCACAAGAGGCTTGAGTGCATTCATAAGGTATTGATGGATCATATTTGCTACAGTAATTTAACCATAGTATAGTTTGTAATTGTTCATTTTCTGATTACCTGTTAATTATTGATCTCTTACTGTGTTTAGTTTATAGGTTAAACTTTATGCAGGGAAAAGCTGATATAGCTAGGGTTTGGTAGTACCTGCAGTTCACTCATCTGTTTGTGGCCTTATAGACTGGGGTGGGGGTTCTCCATATGAGCTTTCAGAGTCAAAAAGGGCAGTGATTTTAGATGCCAGTGAACATCTGTTTGTGGCTCCCCAGTCTACTGTTTCTCTTCATACCCCAAGCATGCTAACAATGTGAGTTTCTGGTTAAATTTTAGTGTCCTCCCCAGTTCCAGAATAGTTGATTGCATTTTGGTTCTAATTACAGAAATTTCCCAGTTGTTCTTTGAATGTGCTCTGAGGTTCTGACATGGTGAGCTTGTTCTGTAAGCAGAGTTTTCGCTGGGACCACTAGCTCCAAAATAAACCAGTAGAGACTTAATGTCAATTATAAATGCTTGGACAATAGCTCAGGCTTATTACTAATTAGCTCTCACAACTTAAATTAACCCGTATTTCACATTTAAGTTCTACCATGTAGCTCATGACTTATACCTCATTTTCTATATGTCCTCCTGCTTCTGCTTCTGGCTCATGATTCCTTAGACTCTGCCCTTCCTCTTCTCAGTATTCATTCTACCTGGAAAATCCCACCTAGCTATCAGCCAATCAGCTTTTTATTAATAATGAGAACAACACATTTTCACAATATATAGAAGGATTATTCCACAGCATTGTCCTGAGTAGAGTAAAGGGAACATATATAGTAGAGAGGCTTTTTCATCAGGGAGTTGACACTTGTGGAATCTTGAGGTGAAGTTCATCCATACATTCAATGGTTTTTTTTTTTTTGTTGTTGTTGTTGTTTGTTTTTTAATGGAATTTGAAAATATCTGAGATGCTAAATATTCCTTCTATACAGGAACTCTTGACTGTCACTAAATTTTCATTCAAATCTTGATGTATTTGCTACTTTATTTCCATGAAGGTACCAATAAACACATCCCTTTTCAACTATTTTTAACCTCAAGCAAGGACTTTGTTCAAGAGCTCCTTGGCTGCAATGTCTCCAAGACACTTGCTGTTTGGTTTATGTCCTTAGGTTTGGATGACTACTTTATCCTGCTGGAGGAAGCCCTTTAGACCCTCCAGCTGTGGTCGACCAGTTGTTTAGAATTCTTTTAGTGCTTTATTATTGACCTTCCTACAAGTGAGACAGTTTGCTCCTTAAAGCACAGAGGCTTTCTCTGAGGTAGTTTCTGCTAACTTGGCTTTGACTGTGTGGAACTGGTAGTAGGGAGTAGAAAGCTTTGGCTTCAAGGATTAGTTGTCTATTGCTGATGTGACAAATGCTGCCTTTCTAGTGGCTCAGGACAGTTTACATTCGTCATCTTACAGTTCTGAGGTTAGGAGTCTGCAGTGGATCTCTCTGGGCTAAAGTTAAGGTGTGAGCAGCCCCGCTCATCACTCCCAACGGCTATAGGAATCCTGCCTTTTTTTAACTTCCAATTCTGGAAGCCACATGTATTCTTTCTCTTGTGGCTCCCATCTCCTCTTACAAACCTTTCTCTTTTCTGATCTCTGCATTTGTTTTCTCCCCATCTCCTTTGCTGTCAGGTTATATTCGGAACCCTCCTGATTTGTTATTGCAAGGATGTGGTGACTTTGGCCTGTTCAGATAACTCAGGGCATTCTTTGTGTCTCAGATTGCTTATCTCTACATCTCCCTCTTGCTACTGAAAACCACATAGTCCCAGGGTCTAGCGAGTAGGACATGGGCATCTTTATTCTAGTATTTCAACCATACCACACATTAGAGTATTACTATTTCTTTTTCGCTCATATTTTCATTTATTAATTGTCTTTGGGAATCCTAGAAGCATGTTTTATGTTTTGTTGTTTTGATAGGAGTATGTTGGTAAAAATAAGCACTTAACACATAAGTGGTTGTGAAATTTGAGTAGATGAAAAAAAGTTTAAATTTTATCAGTTGTTACTTCCATCTGTCAGATTCACAGTAGGTGCTTGTCAAAAACTTAATGACAAGTGTCATTCTTTAGGGATAGACCCATTCCACTTCTTGCATCTTTAGTCATTTTAACAAGTTCTGTGGGCATGTACATTCAAACACACATGTCCTTTCACATAACCATAAACACATACATACAGGTGCATATGTACATACTGTACATACATGTACATATATATATATATACACACACATACCCTCAAATACAAATACTAATACTTGTACACACATATCCATATGCATATTACACATGTTCATGTATGGTCAAGTGGATACACACACACACACACACACACACACACACACACACAAACAGGCTACACAAACAGGTGTCACTATATCTTCTGGACATTAATGTTTAGCTGGTGCTCTTGTTTCTGGTCTTTGCCTGTCTAGTCCACTACTCCTCCTTCCTTGCATCTCCATTGGAAAGATTCAGCTTGAGACTATGACAACCATGTGCTATTATTGACTTTGTCCCTTGCCTACTCACCACCACAAGCTAATTAAACTGTGTACAGGTCTCAGGATGCCTCAGGACACAGATGGGGACTCGGGCTTCCTGTTTGTAGGCTGCCTTCATCTCACAGCCGTCATCTCACGGACTTCATTTCACAATGAAGTTTGCTGTTGACTTTGACCTCTGCTCTCATTGCTTATTTGTTTGTTGCTCTATTTTCCCTTGTGTGAGTGAATGGAGGAGGGGATTAAAGCAGTAGGAGAGACCAACTCTAGCATTTAGTCACTTAAACTGTTGACATAAAACACAACCTTCACCTCAAAGAGAGTATATTTATTCTCAAGCTGAACATGCCTGGGAATTCTCAAGCCTGGGAATATGCATTTAGGTTGCCCCAAGGAAACAATGAAATGCTTTCATGAAGATTTTTTTTTTAGTTACAGAACAAATCAGCTGTTATTAAGGCACTTTTTGGTGTATTGGTGGAAATATTGGTAGCTGGGTTTCATCAAAATGGGGAGTCACTATTACAGTATCAGATGCTATCTGAGGACATTCTTTGGTTGGGGTTGATGATGTCACACCAACAATCAGATGACAAAGATGTTAGGTCAGACATAGACATGGTCAGTGAATTAATAGAATTAAAGATAACTGCACCTTTCCAATTCTCTGCATTCAGTTAGTTGTAACTAAATATCCAATATAGGCATAGCATTTTTGTCCCTGGAAACTGCAGTTTACATGAGCATAAAACTTAACCAGCTCAGAAGTGGCCCATGTCAGATGTGCCCAGATGCCTGGGGTCCATTATAGATGGAAAGTATGGGGAGCACAGACCATGGCTTTGATCACTGGGTTCATTCTTGCAGTTTTGTTACTGTGGAAGGGTAGGGCCACTTTCATCTCAGTGTGGAGTCAGATACTTGTGGGACTTCACTTAATCCAAAGCTGTGTAATTGGTGAGATTTTATATCTCCTGCTTCATTAATTTCAATCCCAGATGAGGCCAGTGTGGCACTGTTTTTATCTTTGTGTTCAAAGCCCTGCTACTTGGGGTTTGAATATATACATTGAAATGAAGAAAGCATTTTAAATGTGCACTTTTTTTAAATTTATTTACAGCTGCAGCTGAAGGAAAAGGCAGAAGTGGGGAAGACTTTTTTCAAAAGGTGAGTAATGTTTTAGTCTTGTCTGGCTTGGGGATATATGGGAAATAGCCCTGTGTCCACAGCTCCAACAACAATGGTGGGCTGATTCGTCATACCCAGATCAATATGGACCTGTCCTTTCCATTTGCTTTGGCATGGCCAATTCCTCCCACTCAAGCCATGTCTGGCCTAGAGGTGGATGGGTGTTCAGAAAGGCCGTCCATTGTTCTGGTGAACAGAACGTGGGGTGGGGACTGTAACCAGTGCAAGGTGTCTTTAGAGACTGCTTGCTTATGATCAGCCACCATGCCCATTCTGTCCCTGCTGTCCCCTGAATGTTCTGACCTTCAGTGAGGCCAGCTGGGCCAGTCATATACATAGCAAGGGCAAACAGTCAGGCTCGGTTGAAAAGATGATAAGTTAGGAATGTTGACTGACAAATCTGAGTTCTCTTTCTCAGAACATCTTTCATATGGGAGGATGCCTTTCCTTTTGAGAAGATAGACCAGGGCCCACAGTTTTCTTCCCTTCTCTCCTTGTTTTTGTTGCACTCATACCCTTGTGCCTGATTCAGAAAGCATGTCTGGAGAGGCAGCCATGGCAGGGGAAGCTGGTGCTGTTGGTGAGGTTAAGCAATACTGGAGAGGAGTTCAAGTTTGGGGCGGGGGGAGGGTAATGGCTCAATCAGTAAGGTGACCCTGAGGAGCAGAGTTGATTCCCAGAACCCAAGTGAAAAAGCCAACTGTGATGGTGGACTATTGTCATGCCAGATCCTGGGAAGTAGAGCTACACAGATCCCTGGGGCCAGCCAGTATAGCCTCATTGATTAACTCCAAGCCAGTGAGAGACCCTGTCTCAAGGGAGGTATATGGGGATGACAGCGGAGGTTGTACTTTGGGTCCCATATGCATACACATGTATACCCATGCACATGAACACACATGCACATATATACACAAATGCATGGAAAGGGTGCATGTGTTAAATTTTAAAAACCTAATGGTGATGTACGGGCAAATAGTATGGACCAGGTCATTGGTTTTCAACCCCTGCTTTGGGATTCCACAGAAGAACCTTTATAAACTATTGATTCCCTTGTTGTAGCCATAGGAATGCAGATTATGCTCAGTTTCTCAGTAGAGATCCGTGGCAGGCTGGCTAGAAGGGGCAGAACCAGAGAAGCCTAGGGGCTGCATTCATGGATCTGCCTCTTGCTGGCAGCACTAGTATAGATAGGAGCTCTCTGGGGCACAAAGGGATGGTGTGGGGGGGGGGAGGTGGGGAAAGGTGAGAGTAGGGATGGTGGGGGGGTGGGCATCCTACCTTATTGCTCTTCTTTATCTCACAGGGAGATGGGCATAACTTTTAGACTCCTATGATCCAGACACATTAAAAGCCAAATTAAAACACAGCCCACACTGGCCTATAGGACTTTGGCTCTTAGAAGATTTGCTAATATTTATCACCCTTTGAGGATGTGTATATATCAGAGCAGTATAAGTGGAAACACATGTCTAAATCCAGGAACACATGTTCTCCTTGGGCTCTGACTTGGAGGTGCAGAAGCTGCTCTTGTCCTTACGTGAGAAGGTTCTGTCTGCAGGTGTGTAGTGGGAGGGACTGGTGTCCACATAGCCTTCAAAAGTTCATGCTGGTAGGAGATTAGGAGCTCCACCCTACTCCATGATGTCATCTTAACTTATTACATCTGCAGGGACTCTGTTTCCAAATAGGATCCCCAGAGGTTAGGGATTCAGCATTTTGCATCCTTGTGGGATAATGTAACCCTCTTCACCTTTTAATGGAGGAAATTATTTTATAGACATTTTTTACTGTCACAGAGATATTGACTGAAATGTACATGCCATTTATTAAATTTATATGTTTGGTTTGATTGATAGACTTCAACTGCCTGTCATTTATTCTTTTTTCTGTTGTCACTGTAAGTAATTTCTAAATTGTCTGAAATGAAAGTATAATCAGTGTGCAAAGGGGAAAGAATTAACCTGTGGTCTCGTACATTATGTTGAAAGAGAGCTGTATATATAATGTGTTAATTTTTTTTTTACATCTCAACCAAAGTTTCCCCTCCCTCCTCTCCCGCCACTTCTTCCTCCCCTCCTCCTCTGTTTCTTTTCTTATATTGGTAGGCCTCCCATGGATGCCATCCATCCATGCTATATCATGTTGGGGTGAGACTAGCCACCTCCTCTTCTATTAAGGCTGGAGCCTTCTGGTAGGAGGAATAGGTCCCAAGAGCAGATACCAGAGTCAAAACCAGCCCTCACTCTTAGGATTTCCACAAGAAGACCAAGTTGCACAACTGTAACATATGCAGAGTGCCTATGTCAGTCCCATATAGGCTCCCTGGTTGTTGGTTCAGTCTCTGTGAGCCTCTATGAGCCCAGGTTAGTTGGTTCTGTGGGTTTTTTGTGCACTGGCTCCTACAAGTACTTCCTCCAACTTTTCTGCAGGATTCCTGGAGCTTGACCTGATGTTTGGGTGTGGGTCTCTGCATCGTTTCCATAAGTTGCTTGGTGAACCCTCTGATGACTATGAGTATAGCAGAGCATCATTAAGAATAATTCCATTGATTTTTTTTTTTTGCCAGTCATACTTGGTTCTATCCTAGGTCTCTAGGGGTATCTCCCCTCTGGGTCCAGACCCTCAGGGGTGAGTTCCCTCTCAGGGTATGGGTCTCCAGTTGGGCCAGTCATTAGTTGGTCACGCCTATAAGTTCTGTGCCATTTTTACCCCAGCACATCCTGTAGGCAGGACAAATTGTAAGTCGAAGGGTTTGTGGCTGGGTTGGTGTCCAGTCCTTTCACTGAAAGTCTTACCTTGTTACATAAGATGGTCAGTTATGGAGTGGACATTGCTAGTGGACAGGGGAAGAGGGTTGGAATGGGCACAGGAGGGATCAGGTTAGGAGGGATGGAGAGAGAGAGTACTGGGAGACACAAGTAGAATCTGGGGGCATATCTGCAATGAGCTAGAAGCCTAGAGCAATGGGAACTCTCAGGAATCTATGAGAGTGTCCCTAGCTAAGATTCTTAGCAATAGGGAATATGGAATCTTTGTCTTTTTACACATGTATATGAAAATGATTTTCAGTATTGACAGGGCTATAGATTAAACCATTTGCATTAGTTAGTGTGTGTGTGTGTGTGTGAGAGAGAGAGAGAGAGAGAGACAGACAGACAGATGACAGAGACAGATGACAGAGATAGACAGAGAGCTTACTTTACAAAGTCCCCTAGCAATATTACCTTCTATCCTTTGGCTCTGTTTATTCTTTACAAAGGAGGGAGTAGCTCATCTTATCAGCGCTCCTTCTAGCTTCCACGGCTAATAACAACTTTCATCTCAACACATGGAAATGATCTTCCAGGTTGTTTTCTTTTTTTTTTTTTTTCCTTGTGAGTTTTTTCCCTGAGGGGCAGTTGTTCATGGCTTACTCATTGTCTATCCTGTTTCCTTTTCATCTTTTCTTTCCTCTTGTGAAAATGATCTTAATCAGACCATTCTTGGCAGGGAAAGTTGTTATAGTGCATGAGGTGGGGATGGGAGCCCTAATGTATTCCCAGTGTGACTCATGAAAGCTCAAGGCTCTTAGGTACTTGTGTCCTGATGGCTGAAGAAGATGAAGTTCACTGAGCATTTCTGTGGCCTTTGGTGGGAACACCAGGAACTCTCTCTGCACTGGGGTATACATAACCACCCCTAAAGCATCCATTATGTATTTTAAATGAAGAAGTATTTTGTATTTGTAATCACATATTGGATGTTTCTTTGGAAATTGACCAATAAGTTGTGTTTTGCTGCAGGAGCTAACGGTATGACTAATTTAAAAGAGATACTCCTTGGTGGCTAATATTGTATTTCTTTATCACTCCCAAGTTTCTGCCTTTTAGGCAAAAAGATTGTTTTTGGAATTTTGAAACTGGAAAGTAAGTGAGTGTAGACTTCTGGAGGGAAAATGCTTAAAGGAACATTTGTCTTCTTGCACTCCAGAATAAATAGGCCAATTGTCTTAGATGGGAGAACCTTAGTTTTTAGTTGGAAGGGTGGTAGAGGTGATAAAATTCACACTGTGTCCACCACTGGCCATTACTCTGTCCATGGTGGGTGACCATACCTCTCTAGTTTGTCTCATTATTGTATAATCAGTTGACTGTTGGTTTTGAAGGTACGGTTCAAATTCTGAGTCTTTGTGCTTAAATTTAGTTTTAAAATATGTATCTGTGTATGGGAATCTGCATGTTGAGTGCAGTGCTGACAGAATCCAGAAGAGGGAGCTGGATATACGATTATAAAAAATAATTGTGAGTTGCTGTCCATGGGTACTGGGAATGGAGCTAGAGTTCCCTAAATGAGCAGCAAGTGTTCTTAACTGCTGTGTGATGATATCTCCGGCTCCCCTCAATACTGTTTTTATCCATACGTGAAAGAGAGGTGTGTGTGTGTTGGGGGGGGAACAAACTGACCAACACACAGAGAAGTCAGTACATTAACATAGCATTCTCTTTTCCTTAATAATGGTTTAGGGGAACACTTTATTACTTTATGCTTTTCTAAGTAACTTGACTCTTGAATTAAATGATTGAATATCCTGGATGTTATTGTCTGATGTCAAATACTTAGTAGTTGTGGCTTTCCTGTACTGGATCTTTTGCAGTTTAAAAATTTTAATTGGATGTAAATTCTTTCCTGAAAAAGAGTGGTCTTGGTTATTTTAGTGGTGGAGAAATGGATTTGCCCCCTCCCCCCCGCCAACTGAAATGAGAATGCTCTAGAAACTTATGGGCATGCCTTCCTTTCCTTTGCATTGATTGAGGACTTTTGTCACAATAGGTGACCATCAGTTGCCCATGGTTTCTGCTGTTTGTTGTTGGCATGGTAACATGAAGAGATGAAGCTGTGGACAGGTGCAATGCAGAGCCCCTGTGTTTCATTTTGGCTTTCTTCCTTGAGTTTTTCATTAGTTGCTGTTTTGGAAAAAGATGAAAAACTACATTCCC